TGGGCCTCCTGATGGCACCTGGGTTTTGGCCACTGTGCAGGCTTCCCAAGTACTTACTGTGATTCGGCGGGAGACACAGACATCTTCGCAGGATCATTCCGGCAGGGACAACAGACGCGCCACACCATGTCGCCAGGAAGGGACGCCAGGCGATGCTCTGGCAATGGGGCTGGAAACTTGATGGTAGCATCAAGTTTTCAGCCATTGTCAGAGCATCACCCAGCGTCACTTCCTGGTGACGGCATGGTGCGTTACAGAGAGGAATGGTCCAGCCGGGGAGCATGTCCCCCCCCCCAGATCACGGTAAGTACTTGGGAAACCTACCACTGTGTGACACGGAAGAGTCATAGAAACAGAGTTGGAAGGGATCCCAAGGGTCATCTAGTCCAACCCCCTGCACAGCACTGGAAATTGACAACTACCCCTCCACACACCCTCACTGATCACTGTTCCATGCCCAGAAGATGACAGAAAACCTCCAGGATCCCCAGGCCTGGCTGTTTCCGTGGCAGGCGCCCATGTGCATAAGCGCATGCAGTGGAGCACAGAAACAGCCGCTAACAGCCCGCTGGGGTGGACCAACAGTGCGAATGCTCCCTTGCGCTTCCTCCACGGTATCCTCCTGCTTCATTTGCTGCAGTGTGAATAGGAATACCACGATCAAGCCATTCCAGGTCTGTTCCAGGACTTTTTTGATGTGACTCCCTAGCACTGCAAACTGCCAGTCTGAATGTGGCCATGATCTGCCTGAGTTCACAGAATCAGCATAGCTGTCAGATGGCCTCTGCTTAAAAACCTCCAAAGAAGGAGAGCCCACCACTTCCCGAGGAAGCCTGTGCCGCTGAGGAAATGCTCTGTCAGGAAGTTCTTCCTAATGTTTAGCCGAAAACTCTTTTGATTTAATTTCAACCTGTTGGTTCTGGCCCGACCTTCTGGACCAACAGAAAAAAAATCCACACCATCCTTTATATGACAGCCCTTCAAGTACTTGAAGATGGTTATAATATCACTTCTCAGTCGTCTCCTCTCCAGGCTAAACATGCCCAGCTCCTTCAACCTTTCTCACAGGGCTTGGTCTCCAGACCCCTCACCATCTTCGTTGCCCTCCTCTGGACACGTTCCAGCTTGACTATATCCTTCTCAAATTGTGGTACCCCAAACTGCACACAATACTCCAAGTGGGGTCTAACCCGAGCAAAGTCATACTATCACTTTGTATGATCTGGAAATTATACTCCACTGCACCGCTATTGATGCAAAAAGCAAGTGGACTCCAGGGAATTCTTCAGTGGGTGCCATGTTAGGCACCGCTCATTTAGCCAGATGACTGTTGTAGTGTATTCAAAGCTGACTTGAATGCATGATATGTTGTGAAACATCTAATTGAAGTGTAATGTAAAGCTTCGTCCTGGGCTAGGATCCAAATCCATCCAATCGTGTTACTAGCCCAGGAAGCACCTAACCAATCACCTTCTAGCAAGCTCCCTGAGCGGGAACATCCGTGATTGGTCCTTATGTGAACAGCCTTATTGGTTGGTATTTGTACAGTGGGTGTGGCTACATTAGCCGGGAATGTTTAAAAGCAGGACAGCTGCTATGTAAAGGCTGTTCTGGCTATCAGATGTTGATCCGTGTTGGAGTTGTGTTCAAGTTGAAGAATAAAGTTGTGTTCTTGCTTAATCACTCTCCGACTGCTTTGTTAAGCGAGCAACTTAACAACTGTTGTCTTGGGATAACAGCCCTGGGATAACGACCTTTGAGTGCTGAACATGTGATCCCACCCTTCAATCACACACCCCATACATTTTGAGTACCAGGTTCAGAAGCCAATTAAAAGCTCTCCAATTGGTGAAATGCCTTGCCTGACAGCCAATTAGCTCCAAATTCATCCAGTTAGAATAAATATACAGAAGGGGGAAGATATTGTGAGGACAGCGACGGGAGATCATCGCTTTCTCCAACCAAGATAACAGCTTTCTCCAAATAACATGGTATGGGAAGCACCTGAGATGCTTTACTCAAATAATGAGATGTAAATAGACTGCTCATAATAATACCTTCAGCACTGAGCAGCCTTTAACGAACGATTTAATTAAAAGTGAATTTGAAATCCACATTTTAAACTGTGATGAATAGATTGACTACACCATTTAGTTGACTCATGTTTTCCGATTCAGAGGCTTCTACCGAGCATCCAGAAAAGTTAGTGCATAAGAAGTTAAAGTCTCCACCCCATGCCTTTGAAACAAACAAGAGCACGTTTAATTATCCCATTCATATCCGGCCTTTCCTCATAGCACCCTTGGGTGGCATTGGCAGAGTTAGCCCATTTTATCCTCGCAGCAACCCTGTAAAGTAGGTCAAGCTAAAAATAAGGTGACTTGTTAATATGGTTGCCAGCCTCCAGGTGGGGCCTGGAGATCTCCTGCTTTTACGACTGATCCCCAGCCGACAGTGATCAGCTCCCCGGGAGAAAATGGCTGCTTTGAAGAGTGGACTCAATGACATTGTGCCATGCTGGGGCCCCACCCCTCCTCAAACCCCACCCTCTCCTGGATCCACCACCAAAGTCTCCAGGTATTTTCCAACTCAGACCTGGCAACCCCACTTGCTAAAGGCCACTCAATGGGTTTTATATATAAGCTGGGATTTGAACTCAGGCTTTCCAACAAGCTGACAAAATAAGAAGAACTGTACTATGGGCATATCTGTACAGCAAATCTGTATTGGTTTTGAACCCTACTTTAGGCTCAAAGAATTCTGGGAATCGTAGTTCAGTGAGGGCTGTGCATTCTTTCACCTAATGTCATGAACATCAGTCTGCCAGTCCTCTGTGGTTCGGGGGATTTGCCCTCTTCTTTTCTCTCCTCTCCACCTGCACGTGGTTCCCCTCCCTTGTTTTCTGGCTTGCTCAATCCGTAGTTTGCCATAACTTCCAAACTAGGAAGCTGTAGCACTGCCTCTCTACCATGATTCTCAGCCGTTACAAGCTGTGACTGCAAATCATAGATTGCAGGTTAAATGCTAGCTATAGGCCCCGATCACACGGGCCGGAAAATGCGGGGGGGGTGGCTGTTTGTCCCGGAGCAAAATAATGCGCGGCAGCCCAATCACACGCCCCGTTGAGTTCCCGTGGTTAGGCCGTTAGGTGCCGATCACACGGCTATCCTGAAGTGCGGCAAAGAAGCGGCGCGGCGTGGCGCGATCACACCGGCAATCACTAGGCGCTGCTTCCGTGGCAAACGGGATTTCCCCCCACACCTCACCGACATTTGCGCATGCGCCGTTGGGCGTTTGTGCACTTCCTATGGAGACTAAAAAAACCCCATCCAGTTTGTGACGGGACATGGACGGGCACCGGATGCCACGGGATTCAAGCGGAAACGCGATCAGACGCCCGCCCCTGCCCCGTGGTTTCCGGAAACTAGTGCGCTTTCTGCAGTAGTTTTTTACTCTGCATCTTCGGCGGGAAGCCACGGGTGCACTACGCTCCCCAGATGTTGCAGTGTGATCACACACTGAAAATCCGCCTGTCATTCATGTCCTTAGCGTGGCAACTTCTCCATGTGAATGAGGCCATAGTTTGCCACCTCAGAAGACATGTCAAACTTTTTTTTTTAAAAAAAATAATTTTAAGACATGTCAAACTTAAAGATGCCAACCTTGGTCAGAAATGTCAACCAGTGCCATACAGCCACGCCGACCAGCCAGTCAGTGACACTGGCCATGGAAGCAAGCCTGGAGCTGCCACCTAGCCTGCAGGGTTGCCAACTGGAGATTTGGGGGTGGAGCCTGAGGAGGGCGAGGTTTACGGAGGGTCTTCAATGGGGTGTAATGCCATAAAGTCCACCTTGCAAAGCGGCCATTTTCTCCAGGGGAACTGATCTCTGTTGCCCGGAAATCAGTTGTAGTCCCAGGAGGTCTCCAGCCACCACCTGGAGGTTGGCAACCTTACTGCTGTCATGGTAATCCACTGGGGTTGCAGCAGACTCCAAACACACCTTCTCTGTCAGCCCCACAAATCCCATTATGCCACAGAACTGCTGGCCAGTCCCAAGTTTCTCAATTGCCTGGGCAGAGTGGAGAATTCCTAGCCTCCAGCCTTGTGCCCTTGAGAAACTAGGGTTTTAGGGGCGAGGGGAATTACCTCCATAGCGACGCTCTAGGAATTTCTTCACCATAGCAATCAAGGGGAATTCCTAGAACATTACCCAAAAGTGATATTGTATCCACCACAAACTCCACTTTTCCCAGGCACCCCCTGGTCTCCTGATATTTGCTGACACAGGGTTTGGGAACTCCAAGGCAGCACCCTCCACCCCCCATGATATGGAAATCTGTAACAAAAACAGCGTTCTGAAAGCAATGTCATATAGAGGTTACCTGCCTCCTTCCTAGAACTACAGTTCCCAGACAAGAATGGATGTTCAACAAAATCCTGCACTACATTCACTATTTTCTTCATACTTTTGTCAGGGTGCCCCCGGGCACCTGCGACAAGATGGGTTGGGTTTTTTTTTTTTTTGCCAGATCCAGGTTGGGAATCTCCAGGAAATTTGGGGATGGAGCCTGGGGAGGACATGGCCCTCAGTGGGGTACAAGGCCACAGAGTCCACCCTCCAGAGCATCCATGTTCTCCCGGAGAACCCACCTCTGTAGTCTGGAGATGAGCTATAATTCCAGAGGATCCCCAGTTCCCACCTACAGAATGGTATCCCTAGTTGGTGGACTCTGGCATAGTTTAAACCAACGCTGCCCCGCCATGGTGCATGTCACTGTGTCAACGATAGTGGAAGAAGTTCATCTGTTGACTTCAGAGTAACTTCTTTGTCAGATTATCTGGCGGGGATTTCTCGTCCCATTGCATTCCTCCGCTCGAGACACTGTTCCCGCTTGTTCGGGTATGAAACGAGCAACTTTGCAATGCCGTGTGTGTGCGCGCGCACTCCCCATGCACGTCTAGTGACATTCTCGCTCTGTTTTCTCTCTTTTTTACGTAGGTAGCTTTCTTGTGGTGACAGATGAGACATGAGATCGTCGGCCTCCAGGCTCTCGAGCTTCTCCTCCAGAGATTCATTATGGAATCGGTAAGGAAGTAATGATGAGATGGTATATAGGTCAAAGGAAGGGCTCAGTCGAGGCTTTGGGAGTTCTAATTGCAAAGCACTCGACTGCAGTCCTTACAAACAGCGTCTCAGTGAAGACGGTCATTATTATGCCCATTTTACAGTCAATGACAATGAGGCCTAGAGGGGGGGAAATAGGAGAGACCAACCAAGCTTGGGTGTGATGCGTTGCAAGGCCACAGGACTGGATCTGGGCCATTTGGTCACACTTATGACACACAAAGAGTCGGACTCGACTGTGTGACTGAACAACAACAACAAATGAGAGCCCCCAAGGGCAGAACTGGCTCCGGCTACACTGGAGCCCTCGGTCAAAATTAACTGTTGCTGCTCCGTATTTTTGGATGTTCCTTTCTCAACCTTCTACGCACTCTACCTTCTCCACGATTTGGTGACCCACCCTTGAATATCTCTCATCTCAGCATGAAATTCCCAAAGCGGTTGTTGACCTGGGCTTATGATGCATCTTTGGAAATGATTATAGTGTTCTCGGTCTTTATATTCTGCTTATCAAGGCTTAAAATTACTGTTGGTTAGTTTGATGGGAAATTACTCCTTTGCATCTCTGTTATAGCTTACAGAATGTACCTACTGTTTGATCTTATTGTGCTATGTTTGTATTGCTGTTTGTTAAACTTCAATAAACAATTATTCACAGGGGACATTTCGTAGAAAAAGAGGTGCAGGAGCTCATTAGCATAACTTATTTGCATATGCCACACCCCCTGGTATCACTGGAAGTGTGTCAGAAGGCAACACCCACCGTTCAGGCTCCACTGGACTGTTTTGGATTGCTAGCTATGGGGGGGGGGGACATGCAGATCTGTCCTGGCAGAGGAGGGAGAGCTTGTACCTGAATAAACCTTAGTCTTAAAGGTGCCACTGGACTGTTTTGAACCAGGGGGGGGGATGGGGGGGCTCTGCAACTTACCTGGCTGCTTCTTGCTCTGACTGAGGGCTGCTGGGAGCAAGCGGTGGGGCTTGTTGCATGTGCCCAACCCCTGGGCTCTTTATTGCCGGAGCTCCGCTCCTCTACACTCCTGCAGGAAATGACCTCTGGGTTTTTATAATGTAGATCCAATTACATCCCGTCTAGAATCTCCTGTGTGGGGAGATGACCTCAAAATGTGGCTGTTGAACTGAGACACCCTTGTTGAACTGAGACACCCTTACCTGGCTGCTTCTTGCTCTGACTGAGGGCTGCTGGGAGCAGGGGGTGGGGCTTGTTGCATGTGCCCGCCCCCTGGCCTCTTTACTGCCGGAGCTCCGCTCCTGTGCGCTCCGGCAGGAAATGACCCCTGGTTATTCATATTTCTGTATGTTTGGGGACAAGGTTGCTGAGAGCCACCTAGGGCCCCAGACCAAGATTTAGGGATGCCAACCTCCAGGAGGGACCTGGGGATCCCCTGGAATCACAGCTCATCTCCAGAATACAGAGATAAGTTCTCCTGGGGCTTCCCAACCTGGACCTGGCAGCCGTACCCCTTCCATCCCACGCCGGTGGTCGGGGGTGTTATGTCCTCTAATCACTGCCTGGCGTCAGCCAAAGGCAGCTAGAGCTTCAATCCAGAAGACAATAGGGACTAGGCTCCTGAAGTACAAGTAAGGAGCCAATAGGGACATTGGCGGGAAGTTCAAACCCGCCAATAGGACCTAGGGGTGTCCCTCCCCAGTTGTATAAAGTTGGCCACCCGGCCATTAGCTTCTGTTCCATGTGTTAAGTACAAATAAACACGTCTTCTCCAATGTGGTCCGCGTCCTGATGTATCATACCCAGTACTTTTCAGGGGAGACCTGGCAACACTACAAGGAGAGACCGACCAAGCTTGGGTGTGATGCGTTGCAAGCCCGCAGGACTGGATCTGGGTCATTGGTCTCACTTATGAGAGCCGTACAAGTGTTGCCTCTGAACTAAGTTAGTGTGAGCTAGCTCACAGATTTTTGGCCTCCGGCTCACACGTTTTTGCCTTCGCTCAGGAAGGAGGGCTCCAGAGCAAACTCATTGATGCAGCGGCCAAATCGCTCACTCACAACTTGAATGCCAGTAGCTCACAAAGGAGAATTTTCGCTCACAAGACTCCACAGCTTAGAGGGAGCATTGCCCCTAAGTGCATAGCTGGCTCTGGCTACGCTGGAGCTAGGGTTGCCAAGTTGATCTTCGCCAGGAGTGGGGGGCTCCCGGCCGCGTCTGGTGTGCACGTGCATGCCGCACGCACATCACCTGGAAGTGACGGGAGGACACCGGGCACGCTGGGGGCTGGGCCACGGCCATACAAGGGAAAACCATAGAGTTTTCCCTTATATGACCGTGGCCCCACCCCCAGCGTGCCCAGCATCCTCCCGTCACTTCCGGGTGACGCGCATGTTGGGGAGGAGTTCCCCCCGGGGCCCGATACGGCGCCGCCAGGGAACGGGCCTCTGGGGCGGGGGTTTCCCCACCCCCCGGGGGGATTTGGGATCCCTAGCTGGAGCCCCAGGTCAAAATTAACTGTTGCCGCTTCGTATTTTTTGTATGTTTGGGTACAAGGTTGCCGAGAGCCACCTTGGGCCCCAGACCGGGTTGAGAGCCTCCAGGTGGGACCTGGGGATCCCCTGGAATTGCAGGTCATCTCCAGTCTACAGAGATCAGTTCTCCTGGAGTTTCCCGATGTGGATCTGGCAACCTTACCCCCTCCATCCCATGCCGGTGGCCAGTGGGGACCTGGCAACACTACCAGGATTGCAGCCCCTGAGAGAAATGGGGAAGTGAAGTCTAAGGATTCCAGTCACCAGGTGCGACCTGAAGATCTCCTGGAATTAGAACTGATCTCCTGACTACAGAGATCTGTTCCCTTGGAGAAAATAGTTGCTTTGGAGGGTGGACTCTATGGCAGTATTCCTATCTGAGGTCTCTTTCCTCCCCAAACCACACCCTTCCCGGAGCTCCACCCACCAAATCTCCAGGAATCTCCCAACCTGGAGCTGGCAACTGTAGTGGGCAGGGCTATTTTTGGGCAGGAACGCACAGGAACGGAGTTCCGGCTGGCTCCCGAGTTGGCCACGCCCAGCAGGAACTCATTAGCATAATAGGCCACGCCCAACAGCAGAAACTCATTAAGATTGGCTACTTTAAAGGTGTGTGGCCTAACATGCAAAGGAGTTCCTGCTACAAAAAAAGCCCTGGGTTTTGACAACAAACAAGATAAACAGAATAAGAAGCAAAAGGTTGGTGTGGCTGGATGACCACACTTCTGGTAACATGGGGGTATGGCCTAATATGCTAATGAGCTGTGTTGTCAGGGTGTGGCTTAATATGCTAATACGTTTCTGCTGTTGGGTGTGGTTTGTTATGCTAATGAGTTCCTGCTGGGCTTTTTCTACAAAAAAGGCCCTGGTAGTGGGGCTGATGCCAATTCTGGTAAAGCCAGGGCTGTCAGGACCCCAGTGGGGCAGGGTATCTCTTGCCCCTGCCCCCCGCCCCCCACTGCCAATCACCTGGCTGCTAGAGGGACTTACTGGCAGTGGGGGAGGCCTAGGTTGGTTCTGCGGCAATGTCACCGGCAACACCACTCCTAGCAGAAAAAGAAATTAAGTCGTTGTCATCGTCGTCATCATCATCATCTTCTTCTTGACAGGGGGGACGACTGTATTCTCTCTTTTCTATTTCTCCAGGAATGGAGAAAGAGGAAGGGGCTGCGGGTGGGAGAATCATAGAACACTGGTGCCTTCTAGGTCATGACGCCTCCTATTGTCCCACTTTACCCAGCACAGGCCCGATTTTCGGGTACTAGGGTCTCCAGCCTCCAGGTGAGACTTGCAGATCTCCCAGAATTCCAACTGATCTCCAGACTGCAAAGATCAGTTCCGTTGGAGAAAACGGCTGCTTTGGAGGGTGGACTCTATGGCATTCTACCCCTCTGAGGTCCCCCCCCCTTTCCCAAATCCTGCCGTTCCCAGGCTCCGCCCCCAAATCTCCAACCCAGAGTTGGTGACCCAATGATAAATCACTATACTGTCCTCACGTGACCCTTTTAAGGTGTCGCTAGCGTGAGATGCTAAAATTGTCGTTCTTCGGGGCTTAGCACTGTCTGAAAACTCTTGTTAATTTACTTATTTCTTCCCGTCCTGTTTTTCTCTCCCCTGAGGATTCCAAGTATCATAAAGAAATGCAAAAATACAATTTAGACGTGAGTTAGAAAGGTCCTGTCAGAGGGACAGGCCAAGGCTTGGGGCGAGAGCACATGTTTTGCATGGGAAATGTCCGTTCTTAAGATTTAATCCCTGGGATTTCTGGCAACAGGGTCTTGTGGGGTCAGGCTAGGAAAGAGTCCCGCTGTGACATCCCGGGGGGGGGGGAGATAGTAAAGGTTTCCCTTCCTCGAAAGCCAGTCAAATCCAACTCTAGGGGGCGGGGCTCATCTCCATTTCCAAGCCGAAGCGCCGGTGCTGTCCAAAGACTTCTCCGTGGTCATGTGGCCGGCATGACTAAACACCGAGGCGCACGGAATGCTGTTACCTTCCCACCGAAGCGGTACCTATTTATCTACTTGCAATTTCTTGCTTTCGAACTGCTAGGTTGGCAGGAGCTGGGGCCAGGGACGGGAGCTCACTCCGTCACACGGCACTAGGGCCTCGAACTGTCGACTTACAGACCTTTTGGTCCTCAGCTCAGTGTCTTAATCTCTGAGCCACCATGGCAGACAGACAGACAGACAGACAGACAGACAGACAGACAGACAGACAGATAGAACTCACCCAACAGCATTGGTCAACCTTCTTGCCTGCTAAATTAATTGCTGCTAATAATAATATTGTAAATATCTTGCATAATAATATAGTTTAGCGGCACTCAAGGCACTTCTTATATATTATTTCAGTAATCCTTACAACTACCCAGTAAAGTAGGCTGGTATTATTGCCGTAATGCAGGCAAGCGGGGTAGGGGTTTGGGTCGGATCTAAGTAAAAAGGTAAAGGTAAAGG